CCCCAAAACCCCAAAACCCCAAAACCCCAAAACCCCATCTGATAAATAGATAACAATTTACGAAAGTTTTAATTTAAGATAAAAATTGATGAAATATTTAGATTGAGTACGGTAATTAAATTGCTAGGATATTAAATTAGCAGAGGACAATAAATAATAATATTTATATTGAAAAGAATCTTATTATGGGCAACTAGCAGTAAAACCATGTCTACTCATTCTTCAGAGAAGACAAGGAACCACTTCCAGGCTATTCCAGAGAGCTTGTGTAAGCATCAGATTATCCGACTCAACATATTGACTTATCTTTGATATAGATGCATCAAGCATAAAGATAATCCAGATAGACTAGATCCTGCTGAATACAGAGGATGCAAGACATTGTGGGAGCTTTTCGACAACTCAGTTAAGAAATATGGAGACAGACAGTTCTTGGGAACAAGAGACAGCAAACAAGAAGGCAGACCATATGTGTGGACTACCTACTAACAAACCTATGACAAGATGGATAAGTTTGCCAGAGGTAAGTTACATAAGAATAGATTTCATATGACAATGATTGACCGATACTGATGTTTAATATTCAATAGGAGCTGAACAACTTGGACTCTCCCCTGTTACCAATGCTGAGAACACTGACTACAAGTTCATGGGTATCTTTGGCAAGAATCGTGAGGAATGGGTAGTTATTGATCTAGCTTGCATGAGAAATTCAGTCACAATTGTTCCATTTTTCGATAGTCTAGGTCCAGATGCCTTGGCCTTTGTTATTAACCAAACTGAACTCACTACTATGTGCATTGAAAACAACCAGTTCGATCTATTGGTTAAACTCAAGCAGCAGAGAGCTCCCTCTCTCAAGAATATTGTCTTATTTGATGATGCCACATTGTCTCAAAGAGAGAAGGCTCAAGAGGCAGGACTCAACCTCTACACTGTCAAAGAAATCATTCAGTTAGGCTCTGAACACCCAGAAGTTGTACTAGTTGAGCCTAAGCCAGAGACTATCTATATGTTCTGCTACACCTCAGGTACCACTGGAGATCCAAAGGGAGCAAAGATGTCTCACTCTGGATTCGTTGCAATCCAACATTTGCATGAGCATGCTGGAATTATCTTTACACCAGAAGATGTTTCGATCTCTTATTTACCTTTAGCTCATATCTTTGAACAGGCTAATCTCACTTTCTCTATATCTTTAGGATATTCACACGGATTCTATTCAGGTGATCCACTCAAGCTTTTAGAAGATATCGTAGTACTCAAGCCCACATTCTTCGTTACTGTTCCTCGTATCTTAAACAGAGTTTACGGAAAGATCATGGATGGAGTCAACTAAAAAGGTGGAGTTGCAAAATGGTTATTCAATAAGGCTGTTACAGATAAGACCTACTACTTAAACAATGGCCAAGGGTATACTCACAAACTTTATGATAAGACTGTTTTCGGAAAGGTCAAAGATCTATTCGGAGGCAACCTGAAATACATGATTACTGCTTCAGCTCCAATTAGCGGAGAGGTACTCACATTCTTCAAAGTGGCTCTTGGAATCCATGTTTATGAAGTTTATGGTCAAACCGAAAGCAATGGCCCAATCACTGTGACATCACCAAATGACCCAACAGCTGGGCACGTTGGAGGTCTTATTACCACTAATGTCGTTAGACTTAAGGATGTAGTTGAGATGGGATATTTGTCCACTGATAACCCTCCAAGAGGAGAGCTCTAATTCAAGGGTAACAATAGTTTTAGAGGATATTTCAAGAATCCAGAGAAGACAGCTGAGGCAGTTGGTGAAGATGGATGGACTTCAACTGGTGATGTTGCCGTTGTATTCCCTAACGGTTCAATCAAGATTGTTGACCGTGCAAAGAACATCTTCAAGTTGTGCCAAGGAGAGTACATCGCCCCAGAAAAACTAGAAAACGTTTATGTCTAATGCCCACTTGTTGGTCAAATCTTTGTTTACGGTGATTCTCTTTAAGCATATCTACTCGCAGTAATCGTTCCCGAGCCAGAAAACTCAAAGAAATGGTTTACTGAGAAGGGTCTTGAGCCAAACTTTGAGAGTGAAGAGTTCAAGAAAGCTATCATAGCTTCTATGGATGCAAAAGCCAAAGAATTCAACTTGACCAGTCTTGAAAAGATCAAGAAGATTCACCTTCACAATCAACCATTCACTGTTGCCAATGATCTAATCACTCCAACTTTCAAGATCAAGAGAAACGTAGCCAAGAAAGTCTTCTAGGAGTTCATCGACAAGATGTATTCTGAGCCATTATGAGCGGACAATAGCTAGACCTGATTAATGCCTCTTTCTTAGATAAGTTATTATTTTTGGAATTAATAGAATTTGATTAAATCATATGTTTCTTGAAGGGGTTTTGGGGTTTTGGGGTTTTGGGGTTTTGGGG